CACCTACCCGGGATCCTCGGTCGGAACCGGCACACAGGCAGCAAAAGACAACACTGGCCACTCCACCAGGCCCGCTTCTGCCCACAGCACACACCTAAGAGAAAGTGAGCAGCAGCCTGGCCGGCGCTTCGTCAGCTGCCCCGCTGGGACCTCTGCCCTGGGCCAGAGGGTCATCCAGGAGCAGGCAGCAACTGTCACTCTCTCAGATACATCTGTCCTGGGCGGCTTCTCAAGATCAAATCACCAACTGGAGGTTGGTTCCAAGAGAAGCTGAGAGACACCAGATGTACACTGCCTTCTCTCTCCACTCGTCACTGAGACCTTGGGGCTTAACTGTCCCATCCCACCATCTGTGCCTGCCAGGCTTTGCCATGCTGGCAACCCCAGCACTATCCTTGACACCTTCTCACGTTCTGCACGCTCTCAGCTGACTCTGACACCTGCCAGCCTGGTCCTGGCCTCCCTCCCAAGCCCCACACAGGCATCTTCACCTGCACACTTGCCCAAATGATCTGCACCCCTGTGTGGTCCAGGCAGTGCCACCTGAGAGCTTGTCAGAAATGCCAACTCCCAGGCCACACCCCAGATCCATGGATCTCAAGTCTGCAGGTGGTCCTGGAGTAGGGTCAAGTGGGAGAGGCTCTAGTGAAGACGCTGCTGGACACAGAGAAGGAGCATCCTCTCCCTTCGGCCCTCACCTAAACTGCCTTTTCCCTCCTCCCTACTGCCGTTAAATGACGACACCACTGACCCAAATCTCAAGCCAGAAACCTCCAGTCACAACTACTTCCTGGGCTAGACTCCTGTATCTCTGTGCTGGGTTCCGTTGTCCTGATTCAGGAGCATCTCACAGGCCTCACCTGTCTCAATTCCCTGCACCCCATCTGTGCATTCTGCAGAGCCAAACCTTAGCTACATCTGTCTCTGGGGAGGCTGTGAGTTCCGTGAATAGGACTTCTATTCACCTGACTCCCAACAGCCCGCACAGTGTCTGCCACATAGGCTGCAAAAAGTTACACTCTTGTTGAACAAATGAATGAACAAGCAGATGGGTGGTAGGTGAGGGGGGTATGGTAGTGAGGCTGTGACAGAAGACAGGAGCCCAGAGTGAGCCCAAAAATCATGCAGTGTGTTTTTCTTAAAATATTCCAGAAATAAAGTTAGATAGGTGGGAAATTGACATGAAGTATGGAAATATATGGGAGGGGTTTTCAATTAAAATATTTCTAGCTTTCTTTCTCCTCCAAATTACACCCCACTAACATGCTAAGAGGAGCAGTAATAGGTCCAAGGTCACTTCATAGGTCAGTGACCCAGCAGGGTGGAATTTAAACCCAGCTCTGGCTGGGCGGAGTTCACATCCAACTCAGTACAGTGGTCTGGAGGGTTATGAGGTGGGTGGGGAAAGATAAGGTGGAAAAAGAAGAGCCAAGTCCCTGGGAGGGGCAGGAATGTCCCAGAGGGTGGGTACAGGAAAAGGTGGAAGGTGGTTTCAATGTGGGGCTCGAGCCCCCCACGTGGGAAGTTCCCTCGTGAGTTTGTTTCACGGTCTGCAAAAGCATCTGAGGTGGAGGCAAAATGCAAACTGGACCAGGAGAAACCAGGCACCACGGTTTCAGAACTCCATGCAGGGGACAAGCCACCTCCTAACACCCAGTACTGCAAACAGTTCTAGGCGAGGTTCAGTGGAGGCCAAGGTTCATATTCAGGAGCCTTGGCAGCCTGACTGGCTGTCTCCCTGCCACTTAGAAGGTCCTGCAGCACCTGGCACCATGCCTGGCACGGATATGGGGTTCAAAAGCTTCAAATGCTAACTGCCTGGAGTTAGGGTCAGAAGCAACTGGAGACTATCATTCTGGCCTTAGTTCTAGGGGAAGCTCAGCTCCCCTGCAGACCCTGAGGTTGGCTGTATAATACTGAGTGGCCAAAGACCACTAACAGGCAGAGAAACTGAAGCACAGGGGAGGGGACCCAGGCATCCCACTCTTGGCCCCTGCCCTGAATCATTAACAGGCATCACTGAGGGGGCTCCTCCCATCTCTGCTGGTGCCCAGAGTCGAGCCCCTGGTAATGCACAGCGTCATCTCCTTTACCCCTCATCAGCTCTTTATAATTCTAACACTTCTGAAATGGGAATAATTCTCCCCCAAACTAGACAGGTCACTTCTTCAATCATTAGTCACTCAGCAACGTTGTATTGAGGCCTTACTAAGACTGTGTGCCAAGAGCCTTCCTGGGGACAATGGATCCACAAATGAAGAGAACCAAGAGCCCTGCCCTGTGGAACTTCCATCTAGTGGAGGAGACGGACAAACAGAAACTCAGTAAACTATAGATCTTAGAGTGTGAGGTGTGCCAGGAGAAATAGGAAAAGCAGTACAGGGTAGGAGGGGTTGGGCAGGTCCAGCGGCCTGGGGGATGCGGCTTAAGGGAGGGAGGCAGCTTAAGGGAGGGAGGCAGGAGGCCTCACACAGGCGCAGATGAGGCCAGTCTGAGGGAGGGGAGAGAAGCCACCCTCCTCTGGGGCAGAGCAGTCCCATCTGAGAGAACAGCTAGGGCAAGGCCCTGGGCAGGAGTGTCCTGGGGTGTTCAAGAAGCCAGCAGGGCTTGCCAGACAGTCAACCAGCTCGTTCGTTCATTCATTTCTTCAACAGACATTTACGGAAGACCACCTCTCCACCAAGCACTGAGTGGTGGAAACGCTAATACGACAGAGCCCCTACCCTCAAGGAGCTGATCAAGTTGGGCTGGGGGAAAAAGGATCCTAAAAGAGATGATGCAGGTACAGGGTCCAGGAAAGACCCGCAATCCCTCCAGCCCAGCTTATTTTAGTGCTGCTAACAAGTAGGCGGTGCAAACCTGGCTCACTTATTTTTCTTAGCCAAAAAAGAAGTCTCCTTAACACTAAGCGCATAACAAATATCTTTTCAGTTGCTTCCCAGGTGGCCTCAGGATAAAGAGGTAAATGCCAGATGCAAAGATCTGGGAGAGGCCACTCTGGGAGAAACCTTCTTCCAAAGCCTCTGGGAACCACAAAGGGATATCTTGAGGCCCAGGACCAGGACTCACACACAGCTCCAGGTGGCCTGCTGCGCGTGTAGATTGAGCCTGCTTTTCCTGGGCAGTGCTGGCATCCCTCCAAGGCTCAGCTCAGGTCCCAGGCCTGTGTTAAGAAGAGTCCAGTGGCCCAAAACCATGAATCTGGAAAGTGCAGCTCAGGAGAACTATGGCCTCAGAGGTGCCAGCTCAATTTCCCCAGCTTCATGAAAGGGCATTCCTTCCCCAAGACCTGGGGAAGCTCCCACTCAAGAGGCTGGCCCTGCAGATCAAGGGCTGGAAGCCTGGCGAGGCCAATCCATACTGGTTGGATCCAGATCTGGATGACCTGATGGGGAGGTGCTGGTGGGTATGTCACCAGCAACAGCCTTAAAAACTATAAAGGAGAGTGAGGAGGAAGCTGAAGGCTGGACAGTCCTCATCAGGTTTCTGACCAAGTAACAGGAGAGTACTCCTCAGGACCCCAGGTTGTGGGTCCACAGTGAGAGTGGGACACACTCCTCACTGCTCTTTCCTGGGAGAAACTGGTTCCTGGGTCTGTACCCGCAAAGCTCCTCCCTGGCTCTGCCTGCATCACCAGGCATCTGTGTCCCTCCAGTCTCTCTGCAGAGCAGCCTCCTCCCAAGCTGTCTCCCAGTCTGGCTCATATTACTCAAGTTTTCCTCAGCTCTGACACTGAGATTCACTCTGGCAAACTTAAAAAGAGAGGGTACCAATCTGCCCCGCTGGCCTGGACCATGACCCTGACCCAGCATCTTTTCAGAACTTGGCAAGGCCAGCTCCTCCCTCCCTTATCCACTCCAAGGCTGTCTACTCTCTGGTCCAGAAATGACCCCAGGAGTGCCTGCAGCTAATTCAGAAGTGGTTCTGCCTGAGCCTCAGCCAGGAGCAGCTCTACCTAGAGAAGAAAGTTGGAACTGAGTTTAAGAAGCAAAACCCCAAGGTTTAGGACGACACCCGCCCCCTTGCCCAGTGCTTTCTGCCTCCCCACCCCCTCTGGCCTAGGGTTTTATTCCATAATTGGTTTGTTTACTGCCACTCTGAGGGTTTCTGGGAGACAGAGGTGGGAGGAAAGTTCTGTGGGAAGTAAGGAAAGGGGTGTGCGCCCTGAGTTCTGAGGCAGGGGAGGAAGCCCTCCCAGCGCCTCTCTAATTACCTGAGCACTGGCCAAGAACGCCAGGGAGAGGGTGAGAGCCCAAGGCAGCAAGGCCAACTGGGGATTCCCAGCAGACCGCAGGAGGCAAGCTTATGCTTGGCGCCTGGGAAAGACGGGACAATGACCCAAACTTAATCTGCCTGCTTCTGCTGAATAGTGGAAAGCGTTATTTGGCATTGTTCTGAGCAGGGAGCCAACTGGAGACCTCCCATTGCTGAGTCTAGGGTGCAGAGCTCTGGTGACATCCTGCCCTGCTCAAAAACCATTCAAGCTCCAAGCTCCAAACTTACCATCTTCCTCAGACCCCAACTCCTCCAGTTCTCCCCCCACTGACCATTATGCCCCCAACTTCCCGGCCATAAGCACATCCTAGAGCTCTGCTAGTGGGATTCCCTCTCCAAGCCACTCCACCTTTTAAGGATCCCCTCAAATGCTCCTTCCCCTGTGAAGGTTTGCGCAGTTCCCCAGCCCCTTCCATCGCCATCTAAACCTCCATCAGCCTGATGCTGGCGTCTTTTTGGGCCCCGGTCTTACTCTGTCCTTGCTTTATCCTTACAACTGAGCAAGCCTTTTTTGACTTTGATTCATCCAAAACACCAAAGCACAGTACCTGTCAGACGGGAGACCCTTGAGAACTGTTTCCACTGTGCCTAATACCATTTGCCTCAAAGACATAGGAAGTGATGGGCAAAGGGACACAGGGCCACACCAAGGGGACACTAAAATCAGCAGACACAAAACACACAGGAGAAGAGGCAGCAGAGCTGGGTGCTGCACCAGTCCTTACCCTTCTTGAACTCCTCCAGCATGGCATCCAACTTGGTGTCATGGAAGACAAAATGTACCGGGTGGTTGTAGAAGCGGGTGATGGTCTTGAGGGGGGTGCAGTCATCAGGGTCCACAAAGGCCAAGTCTTTGACATACAGGATATCTACGATGTTGGACTGCTCATCTTCATACACAGGAATGCGCGTGTAGCCGCTTTCCATAATCTCCGACATCGTGTTGAAGTCCAGGATGGCATCGTTGCGGATCATGAAGCAGTCTTGGAGCTGGGTCATGATATCCTCCACAGTTTTGGTCCGTAGTTCCAGGGCACCCTGGATCATATTTAGCTCCTCTTTCACCAGGTCATTATAGGGCTCTGTCACCTTCAACATCTCCATCAGTTTCTCCCGATTGTAAACAGTGCGAATCTCCTGGCCTAGGAAAAAGTCCAGGAGTTTGCTGATGGGGAAACTGAGGGGGAAGGTGAGCAGCATAAAGAATTTGGTAAGAACGATGGTATTGGCACCCACGGCCAGCCCATGTCGGGAGCACAGGGCCTGAGGTAAGATCTCCCCAAAAATGACAATGCCAATGGTGGAGGAGGCCACAGCCATGATGCCAGACCCAATGAGGTTGTCCAGGAGGATGGTGAGGGAAGTGTTGACCAGCACGTTACCCAGGAGCAGGGAGCAGAGCAAGTAGTTGCCCTTGCGCCGAATGGGCTCTATCTTGCGGGCATACCTCTTCTCCTTCTCAGTGCCACAGTTCTGCACGATGCGCAGCTCCATGGGGTCCAGGGCCATAAGCCCCAGGTTGAGGCCAGAAAATATGCCCGACAGCACCAGCAGCACCAAAACGAGGAGGATGTGCATCCAGAGCGGCAGGAACCTCCCGGGCTCCTCCATCATGAACAGCAGCGAGTCCTTGTCTGTCCACTTGAGCCAGGGCCCGTCATCCCGGGTCCTGGTGCACAGCGCATAAAGCTTCATGTTCTCGCTCCTCCGGAGGAACTTGGTGAACACCACCAGCATCCCGGACGTGTTCCCGCGGCTCACGTTGACCAGTTGCTGGACGACCAGGTCCTTGGTGAGCTCGAGACAGTTGGTGGAGTTGTGGGCGGTGTTGGCGTCGTCCACCTCGGTGAAGGAGATCAGGTTGCTGGAGATTTCGCCCAGCCTCTGGCCGTACAGCCTCAGGTTCACCGTGCTGCCCTCGGACACGAAGATGATGCCATCCGGGTTCATCCCACACGACTTGTTGCAGCTCGCCAGCCTCATGCCCAGGATCATGCCCGGCTGGGGGCTGCCCTGACCCCGGGCCCCCCGCGCCCACAGCAGCGCCGGCAGCACCAGCGCCGCCAGGAGGAGGCGCCCTCGGGCCGGCCCGCCGCCAGGGCGCCCGCCCCCGCCCACCGGCGCCATGTTGCTCCGGCTCCGACGCCGCCGCTCCCCGGGCCCCGCCGCGCGGCCCGCTCGGCGCCGCCGCTCCTGCCGCTCCGCCGCCGCCGAGCCAACTGCCCGGGCCGCGGGCCTGACGTCAGGTCAGCGCCCCGCCCGCCCCGCCCGCGACCACGCCCCTCGTTTGCATTCTAGGCCCCGCCCCCGGGCACCGCGCGAGCCCCCGCCTTTGGGGGGGTCTGAGCGTTTAAGGTGGAGCCTCGCGGGAGCGCGGGAGCCGCGGGCGGGCGTCCTCCCCGCCCTCCGCCTCCGCTCCGGGCGGGCGCTCTCCGCCAGTCCCTGCGCTTCGCGCTGGTGGAGGTCACCCGTCCCCCAGCCAGCTATGCTCTCCCGGCCGCGCCGCTCCAGTTCCGCCGCTCACCGGGCTGGGCATGCTCGGCTTCTTCCCAGGCTCCAGCTCTCTGTAACTGAGCTCTGGGCAGTTGGCCCTTCTCTGCAGGCATGGCAAGAAACGTGCATTTCCTGGTTTAGAAAAAGGGAACCTGAGGGCTTAGGCTGGCATTTCAGCCGCCTCTTGGAGACTTTTCTGGCCTCCTCACTCCTGGGGTTTTTGCTGTCTTTGTGCCAAGGCCAGAAGTAAGTCCCCCACCACTTCCAGCTTGACGCTTCTATAAGCCGGGTCTCCCTGGCGTGGAAGACAGATCTGGGAAACCGAGGTTATACAAAGACGATACTCTGGCCTAGACTTCTGTCACTTCCATTTGCTCATAAATGTTTATTGAACATCCGGACTATGCACAGGGCACTGTTTCAGGCTCTGAGTGATGAACGAGCCAAAGTCCCTGCCCCCAATAAGCAAGTAAATACATAGGTAATGTTTATTTGATTCTCCCAACAAACTTAGTGGTAGGTATTATTTCCATTTTGCAGATGCAGAAATTGAACCCAGGCACAAATCCTAGTTCTTCCAGATTGCCATCGATAGCCCTAATTTCTCCTTCTACTAATGCCAGTAAGAATGATAATACAGGAGCTGGAAATGTAGCTCAGTGGTAGACAGCTCGCCTAGCCTGCTTCAGGACCTTGGTTCCATCCCCAGCTCCCCAGCTTCCCAGCACCACACACACACACACACACACACACACACACACACACAAATACAGCACCACTTGGCTAAGCTTGTGGGAACAGTTGGCCTAGACATTGAACATGACAGGACAACTCTCTGCAAATATTCTTTGGCTATGTAGTAATAGTTGTTGATGCTGCTGCCTGCCTTTCTGGAACCAAACCCCTAACCCCAAATGGTGGTGACTGGCCAGCTGGGGCAGTTGCATGTGGAAATGAGCAGAGAGGTGTGGCTGCTGGCTTAGCCCTGAAATGACTGCTTCCTGGACATTCTACCTCAATGTCTGCCTGCAGCAGTGAATCGAGAGCCAAGCACCCAGGGTGTGTGGGGAAGACCACAGCCACCCGCCCTGTGAGAAGAGGGAGACAGACAGACAAACATCCTAATTGCAGAGGTACACTGAGCATGGGAGACCAGGATGACCAACAGGATCTCTGAGCAAGACTTTTCTCCACCGAGGAGACACAGAAAGCACTTAACTTTTTTTTTCTTTGCACCAACACTTGTGTTTATTTTTATTTTAGTATACTGTTTGCCAATAAAAGCAACAATCAATATCAGCCACAAAAAGCCTAAACAGGAGGATCAATCAGTACAGTGTTGTGGAGAAGATATGGTTGCCAAGACCTGTTTTCAGCAAGCTTTGTTCACAGAGGTTGAGGGACCAGCAAATGGCCAGCCTGAGGAGTTCCTTGCAAGTGCCTCTCATATATCCACAGTGTGTCCAGCAAGCCAGCTTCTTAAAGAACAGAAGGCTCAGGATGCACTGGCCAAGACAGGACAAAAGCAGGATCTTGGACCTGCTGCTCCTTCCTGGTCTCCACCACACAGGAGGAGCCAGCCACCTGCATTGTCTCAAAACCCAGCCCTCGTCATCTCCAGCTGGCCTTTCCCAGTGTCCTCCCCCTCTGCACTTAGAAGCTCTCCTGTTCTATTATCGACCAATTGGTATTTTTATTTTGCCCTTTCCATGCTGTCTGACTCAGAAGCTCTGTAGATATGCACTGAGTCTAATGACAGAAGCCAACAAAGGGAGGGAAAATAATTTTTGAGTCCCTTTGGTTAAAAGTGGGAACAAATAAATAGAAGGGGGAAAAAGGTGGGAACAATGATGAGGGTCTGCTAGGAAAAAAAAAATCAGTTACATTCACCCAGTTGTATCTGTGATTAGAACAAGGGCAGATTCAACAAGGTAAAGAAATTCCTCTTCCCCCTCTTAGCGCCTGCGATGATCTGGCCCAGGAGTTGCTCTGTAAAAAACAAAGCAATGGAAGACATGACAGAGGAGGCAGTTGGTGCCCAGGTTGGACTTGAGATTCAGTTGCTGTTACTAAGCAGCTTGCACCCCTGGTGAGGAAGGATAGAAGAAAGGATAGGTAGAAAGGAGACTGACAGGGAAGGGAAAAGAAACTGTAACCTTAAACCTGTTTCCTCCAGGCTGGCCTTGAACTTGCGATCCTCCTGTGTCAACCTCCCCAGTCACTGGCATTACAGGTGTGTGCCCCTGTACCCACTGTGCATTTTCTTTAGACTGTATACAAAGCCAAAGTTACAGGCTTATGACGTGGGCATGTTGCAGACATCATCTGTTGACTGGATGATATCAACCTGGGGATCCTAAGAGAACCAGCCCACCGTAACCCGCAGGTGCTCCATGATCAAGAGATTGGAGCTCACCAGGCTTATGGCACCTGCACGTACTGCTCATGTTCATTATTTACAAAGTTTCCTGTAACCGAAGAGCCCAGGTCCCCAAACGCTCACCTGGCTCTGGGCTCCCCCGGCCCTTCTCCCTGTGTATCCTGCTGTATCACTTAACTTTCCTAAATGAATCTCTATGCCTCTTTTGATGCATCCTGAAATTCCTTAATGTGGCATAAGTCAAGAAGCTGCCAGGCACTCTGCTCTCATGTGTATCTAAAAAGAACAACAACAAAAAAGAGCCTCCCAGGGCCAACCTGAGATCCCCTTCACCCTTCCAGGGGGCCGTTCAACACCCTAACTGATGACAAGGGCATCTGACCTTTTGCATCTGCCATGTTGAAATACCTCTCCCCCAGAGTTAGGGGACCACATGGAGAAAAGGAGATAATAAAATGCAGAGTCAGGAAGTTTGAACCATGTGTGGCTCCCCGAATCAGGCTGTGAGAATGGCAGAAGCCCTTCTCCCTTGGGGGACAGAGGAAGGCTTGGGGGGACATAGTCAGACTTGTTTCTCTCAATCCTACTCACCTGAGATGCCTCCTTTAGCAAGTAAGGAGTTTGGGGAAGGTCTTCTCGGCCCTAAGCATGACAAAGCACTCCATTCATGAGGTCTTTGGTTCTTTTAGGCATAAACCCTGTGGCAATGGGTCTGTGCCTTCCACAGTGGAAACCACCCGCTCCTGGCCCTGGGCAGAGGATCAGGCTCAAAGGTTTACTGCCCCTTTGTTTGTACCTGGAGTCATGCTAATGCTGGGGATTGGATGATGTCAAGAGATTCGGAATCAGCCACCTAGGATCTAATCTTTCCAGGCTGGATTCTTAGCCCTCTTGACCCTCTGGGTCCCCAAGATGAGGGAACTGTGGGCAAAGAAGCTGCTCATCTTCTGGTGGTACCCAGAGTCTGAGGTGTGCCCTGGTTCCACACTGGAAGTCCCTTAGAGGGTGCCAGGGGCTCTGGGTGGAGAGGCTGGTTGGAGGTGGTGCAGGCCATTGTCAGTACAAACTGTCCTGTACACCAGCTCTCTATGCAAACCCAGAGCACTTGCAGGATATGAGCATCCCATTAAATTGTCTCAGCGGGGGAAGGGCGATTGTCCCTCTGCAGAGGCATAGAGAGAGCATGGAATTAGCAGGAATACTGACTTGGCTCAAATCCCAGCCCAGGTCATCCCAGCAAGTGGGGGACTTGAGGACCTGGGTGGGAGAGCATCAGGATTTCTACCTGACACATGCCTCATTGAGCCAGAGGAGGGAATGGAAACATCAGGTCAGCAGGTCCAGGCCAAGGAAAGAATCTACCTCTGGCAGGAAGTCACAAGCCAGAGGCTCCAAGTTGAGGGAGAGTTTGCATGAACTGCATAAGAGGGCTTCAGAGGTCCCCTGGCCATGAGACAAAATGTCTCCTTTGGGGGCAGTACCACAGCAGGCAGGAGGTCAGAGCACAGTTCTGGAGGTATGCTGGAGGCTTGCGTGGCGGCTGATTCCTTCTAAGACCTGGGATTTGAATATTCTTTTTTTTTTTTTGGTACTGGGAATTGAACTCAGGGGCACTTACCCACCAAGCCACATCTTCATTTTTTATTTTATTTTATTTTTTATTTCAAGAAAAGTTCTCACTAAATTGCTTAGGGCCTCACTAAGTTGCTGAGGCTGGCCTTGAACTTGCATCCTCCTGCCTTATCCTCCTCAGTTACTGGGATTACAGGCATGTGTCACCCACTCTAGAGTTCTGCATCATGCTGTACAATAAGTACTCCCTAGATACCTGGCCTGTGGCAAGAGCTCGGTAAATGTGCTCAGTAACCATGATGATGATGGAAATGATGTGGCCAGGATTTTTAGGGAGGACTCACACATATATTTTTACCTTCAGCATGTCTCTCTAGCCGCAATCCCTGGACCTCCGTGAGAAGTTAAGAATGGAGGCCAGGTGGAGGTGGAGCTGGGCAGAGCTAAACTCAGGAGGGGTTTGACAGCCCAAAGGGACTATAAAAGGCTGGGCAACATCAGAAGAAGGAAACCTCGCATTCAGGATCCTCAAGGCAAGAACTTCCCTTGCCAAAGAAGCCTGGGCCTATACCAGAGCACCTGCAGGAGCCCTAGGCTGCAGGGACTTGAGGGGCTGGGCAGCTCCCAGGACCCACCCTGCTCTCCGGCATGCTGCCCTCTCCCCCTGCACACCAGAGCACCC